CAGTCAAGAGGGAAATACAAAATATCTTCCAGTGGTTACACGTTATCTTAACAATAAGGGGGTGGTTCTTTTTGGGCAATGGAGCAGTAATAGTTATGGGGATTAAAGCAGCACAGAGGATTATGGGAAATATTGCAGCCATGATGGTTCAGCAGTTTTATCCATCTGCAATATAGTTATGTGACTCTCTTTGCTCCTGAAATCTGCAAAATGATGGTTTCCATAAGCCAGTGACATCAGTTAGCTAACCATGCTTTGTTAAGTGGCCATGCCACATTGTGTTGACTAAAAACAGTGAAAGGGATCCTCTCAGTTTCAACCAGTGTTTGTAACAATAAAATATCACTAAATCTTTGCATAATCAAGGTGTCCCTTTATTGGCCTAGAACCATAAATCAGAGAACTTGATTGGTCATTATGGGAACTGCTTTCATGCAAAATGCCCTAAATTAGCCCACAGAGCAGCTGCAGAAGTGTAATCTTCTAACATGTCTGTGAAGGTTCTCATTCATCCAGGTCATGGTATATCTGTAAAAAATAAGTCAAGGCAACTGGACTTGCTGTGGTTTTTTTTAAGACATTTCACTGGACATCCGACCAGTTTTTTCATTTCAGAATGACTTGTACAAAAATTCTCTGGGAATAAATATGCTGAATGTTGCTCCAAAAGAAGCCATTTATGTAAAAATTGAGAAGCCAAGCTTGAATGGGGGGGAGGGGGGTGAGACATCTATTGTCTGCCACATACAATGCTGTTTTAACACCTCTCTCTGGGCAGGTTAACAGGTTAATAACACGTCCTAACTCCAATTATGCAAATGCAATCAACATCTGGTTGCCACTAACAGATTGGAGCAACATTCACCATAGTTATTCCCAGAGTCATTCTGAATTGAGAAAGCTGGTCGGGTGTTCAGTGAAACGTCTTCCAGAAAAAATACAGCAAGTCCAGTTGCCTTGCTTGATAATTCTAATGAGCAAAAGGGTTAAGTCTTGGGCTGACATTATTCCTTTACATGGGGTAAATATATTATTTAAGGAAATCTAGACTAAGCGGCTGCCACTGATGACCTCTTGAAAACACTAGCCTGGCTGTCTTTAAATCTTGCATTGACCTGGAACAAACAAGCCACTGAAGTAAAATCTCTTGATCTTAATATGGCTTAATATGACTTAAAAATAATCAAAGCCATAAAATCAGCATGCTTCCCCGAAACTAGAATTTGTTGAAGGAGATGTTAGCAATAGCCAATATATAATTCTAACAAACTGATTCCTTTAGTTTTAAACCTACTATGGTAAGTGTATGCAGATTTCTATACCTCTACATGCCCTACCTAATGCCATTAGAATTGTTTAAGTCAGATGTTCATTTTAGACTTCATAGTTACTTGTTGGAGCTAAACATTAACAGCTTGTCAGGTGTATATAATGAGTCTTGTCTTTAAAGTTTCTACAAAGAGCATCCAATCATATTACAGCTCCTATTTTTCTAGTACAGGTTAGAAGAAGAGTAGTATCTAAGGCTAAAGAAACAGGTCAGGTATTATTACTATTTTTTTTACTAGCTTTATTGCCATAGAAAACAGTGGACAGCATCCAGCCCTCACCTCACCTTAAATTGGCTATACATGTGAGGACCTGCTTGTACAATTTTCCTTAATTAGATCGTACCTCATGTCTATCATAATAACAGTGGCCACATTTTTTATATAATGCGATCAGCTAAGACCCTCGGATTATTCAAGGAAAGGATTGGATGTATTGGGAAACTGCTTTTAAATAAAGTATTACAATGAATGGCTTTATTGTACAATCCCTTACCATCGAAATTGTTAGTGTACTTGTGATTAGTTTGACATTTAAATTAAAAAGGCCTTTTTAAAGGATATACATTTACAATTATGTATACAATCTTATTGTGTAATAAATGGGACTGTGCTTGATCATTGTTATGCTGTGTGGTATGAGAGTGTATTTCAAAGAAATATTGTTTTCCATGTGTAGCTTGCTTTAGCATGGCCAGGACTGAATATACACTTATGCCACCAGATTGGTGTCATTTATTGTGTGTGTTAAATAAAATAGTAATCCATTTCAAATTAATTTTTTTTAATTTTTCTTCACCATTCAAACTGACCCCCTAAAAGATTTTACCAAGTCTACCCACCCTTTGGTCCTTAGTATCACAAGACATATAACACACTCACTCACACACTCAAGTAATCAGTATATTAACATGTCCTTTGTTATTTAAAAGAAAGGTTCATTGGGATCTCAGAATTTGTTTTGGGTCCTGGTATTATCAGTATACATGGTATTGTGTATTATAGTATTGTGATTGTTGTATATCTTCTTTTTAAGAAATGACACATACACATAGATTACAGTTCAAAGGTACACTGATATTTAGAACCCATGAAAAATCAAACACTTATACCTTGGATACAACAAATATCAAACATTAACACCTGGGGTCCCAGAAAACAGTACACTAACCCTATTAAACCAAGAATAGCAGACTGAGAGCTGGACCCCAAGAACGATAATTTGCAGTCCTAAAGCAATGACACACTGGCACTTAAAAGTAATAAAAATTGACACTCAGGGTCCCAGAACAAGGCACACTGAAACTTCGGGGTCCAAAAAAATAACACTGATAACTAGGGGTCCAAGAACAATGACACACTTACACTTGGGGATCCAGAAAAATAACACATTGACACTTGGGATCCCAGAACAATAATACATTGACACCTGGGGATCTCAGAACAATGTCACACCAATAATCATGGTTCTAGGACAGTGATTCATTGACACTTTGGCTATCAGGACAATTGTACATCCACATTTCTGTCATTTTTTGTCATGCTGACACTTTGGATCCAACAACTGTGTGACACTGAGAGTTGAGGTCCCAGAATAACAACACAGTGACACTTGGTGATCCCGTACAATAGAACACTTATACGTGGGACCTCTGTACAATGACACACTTATACGTGGGACCTCTGTACAATGACACACTGACACTTAGGGTTTATGTACGTTGACACACTGACACCTTGGGCCCATTCACCTAGGCATTTTGACACTTCGGGTCCATTTACCTAGGCATGATGACACTTTGGGTCCCTGTACGAAAGACAAACTGACACATGGGACCCCTGAACCATGGCACACTGACACTTGGGGTCTGTGTACAATGACACACTGATAGTTGGGGGTTCAAAAATAGGACACACCCACACTTAGGATCGCTCTACAATAACATACTCACACTTGGGGTCCCAGAAAAATCATATACTGACACTTGGGCTCCTGGTACCATGGCACACTGACACTGTAGGTCACAGAAATATAAACACACAGACACTTGGGATCCCAGAACAATGATACACTGACAATTGGGATCAGTACAATAATATGGCTACTAGCTAAATTGCAAATATCTCACAGTGATCATATTGCATACAAAAAGAAATCTTCCGAATTGGTCTTTTGATGTCAAGAAATGAGGAAACATTTCAAGTGGTGTCTAAAAACATAAACGTATATGAACTATACCTGTCTTACTACTTTTCTGAAGTGCCCATTAACCTTCTTGATTTAATATCAATCAGCTGTTTTCCTTAGCTGCTGTTTACTTTGTTGCATTATACTCATGAATCGGAGTTAGTTCATGACACCATTTATTGCACGGCTACACTGAGTCCTGTTACGCCATCACATATGAATTCTGATTAATTCTATGTGGAACATCCATCCTATTTATGTATGTTTTGAAGTCTGCAGACAATGTATGTGTTTTAACTCGTTAGGTATTGGACGGTGGTCTCTTTACCTACTTTTTTGATAGTTTTGATATTTTTGTATAAATAAAATACATTTAATATATAGTTTTTTCTGTCCCGACTCGTTAAGTGACCTCTTGGTTTGGCTAAACCTATGGCCAACCTTCTCCGTTTTCTGACAGTACAGTGAAAACGCATAGAATCACACTGCCTTAGACAAGGAGACCTGTGCAATGTTCTGCATCAGACTGGGAAATCATTACGCTACAATTAGTTAATACAAATTAGAGTGAAGGAATAAATCTAACAACTATGTTTTCTGTACAGTAAGAGTGAATTAAGAATTAACATAAATGTATGAAATTACTCATTAAAACAGAAAGCTTTCTCTTATCTCTCCTATACAAAAGAGACATCCTAGTAAAGTAAAAGGCATATGAAAATAAAACAATTATTTTTCTTCATTTATTAACATGGTAACAGCACATATATGTGCCAAATGATGCCAGCAATCGCATGTCAGCTTTGTGCAGTCTGTTTTGGGCTAGATATTGAAAGCTTATATGCGATGAGCCAGTATGGTAGCCCACACATATGTGTCTTTTTACCAAGTTAATAAATAAAATATATAGTCCATATATCATAGTAATTATTACCACCTTTGTACAACTGCAGCAAATATAGTCCTTAGGGCTTCCAGACAATGAAGAGGGTTAACATAAATGCAAAACAAAGGCAGTATAGTGTACAAAAGTTTCTATAAGTAAACATAAATTCAGATCCAACTTTGTTATATGAATATTTAACTTTAACTTTCAATAAACATAGGGTTAGAACATTAATACCTCCCCTACTGGTTGTTTATTCAAAGTCCTTAATGGTTAGTGTCATGTAGTCTGTGGGACAACAAACAAAAATTACTTGGGTCTTACACAAGGGACTGCATATGTCATACATAGTGTTATTCCTATTTAGAAACTCAGGGGTGGGCCACTAGGCCACACCCCTGAGCTTCTATACCGTGGCAACATTATCAGAACTCAAAATGAGTCAATAGAAGGAAATAAAGGGATTGTGGGAAAAAGGCATCACTGGAAGTGTGTATATATTGTTTGCTATTACCTGCCGTTGTCCTAAGACCTTCACATAGAATAGTTAAGTCCTTTGAGAATGTAAAAGTAACTTTACAGTTACATAAGACAACTACAAAGGGAAACTAAAAGACTATGGAATTAGTGACCCTTTAAATCATGGCTGATTGCAGCCAGAGTATCCAACACTAATCACAATGGATTTTAATTCTCTGATTCATTAAGGTGATACCGGTTCCTTTGTTTATGTACAACACAGGGCAAAATAAATACACCACAATTTCCTCTGGATCTGTGTAATGGCAATTTGCTCACTTGATATTTGGACACATTCCCTCCCCATACACTTATATACACATACACAGACTGTAGTGGTACTCTTTAGTAGGGCATTGTCCTACTTCTCACATCTTAATTCCAGTCCTCAATCCCAGCTGGGGTGCTCCCCTTTGAGGGAGATACCGCCTTGCTTCATCACCCTAAGATCAGTTGCATTAACTGCTGGGGAAGCCGGAAGTCATGAATATGCGGAGGTTTCCGGTAAACTTGACCGGCGCCACAGGAGAACATTGTCTCTTGTACATCTACATCTAGAAAACTAAGGCTCTGTCCAGTATAGCTCCAGATGAGTTGGGTACATTGAAGACCTGCATCTTCCAGGTTGATTGTTCGGTGGGAGTTTACACAATGGCATCCAGTTGCTCTATCAGAAAGTGGTGGATAACCTCAAACGTAGACCGGTCCTTTATGTCCCTACTCCAGCATTTCATCATCAGGTCAAAGATGGGGGTGGGACACAGGGGTGTCTGAGAGAGATAGATCTAGGGTACAAAACAATAAAAATGTACATAAATACAAAGGAATAGATGTTATATGAAAACCATGCTATACTCATATATATAATAACAGTGGCGTGCTACTGGTTCTCACAAGCTCCTAAAGTAAATCTTTACTTAAATCCCTTAAAAAACAGAAGAGAATATGACGGGTATTCACTATCCACTAAACCAGATTTCAAGAAAATGCATTTTCAATGAAACATCTAATATGGCTAAATAAAAATAAAACAGAGTGGATCTATTATTCATAAATTGAATCAAGGGACACCATATAATTACCTGTCTTCCTTGGTCCCTGAAAAACTCCCCCGTGTTCTCAATCACCTGCTCATCAGACAAAACGCTGTATGGTTGTTCTTTACACAAGGTAAACATCTCCCATAAGGTGACCCCAAATGCCCAAACGTCGCTGGATGTTGTGAACTTTCCCTGAAGAGAAAAAAGAGCAATCAAGATGAAGGTAGAGTCAAAAGTCCATCAAAGAGAAATGGTGCACTGGCACTTGGGATAGCCCAGCAAAGTGTCCCGTGTGACTTACTAGAAGAATACTTTCCCAGGCCATCCAGCGAATTGGAAGCACCGCTCGGCCCTGGATACGATAATAATCTCCACTGTAAAGGTTCCGACTCATCCCGAAGTCTGCAATCTTGAGTGTGTGATTATTTCCCACCAGGCAGTTCCGTGTGGCCAAGTCTCTGTGTACAAAGTTCAGCGAAGCAAGATACTTCATTCCAGAAGCAATCTGTGTGGCCATGTATAAAAGGTTGTGGGGGCTGCAAGGTGACAACAGAGGGAAAACAATAATACTTACTTCAGAGATGTGCAAAAAATGCAAAGCATTCCAAACCCTACTATAGAGTTGGACTTAAATAGTTGACCATCAATGCAGTGGCGTAACCAGAGTTATGGGCGCCCGGGGCAGACATTTTTTTTCGCCCCCCCCATATTATATAAACATCCACTGGAACTGTACCCCCCACCCCCACACATATATATATCAGCTAAGGAACTACAAGTCCAAGTATGCCATCATTGTCCAAGTACACCCCCCCACACACACACACACACACACACACATATCACCCAGGGAACGGCAATATCTGGTTGTTGTACAGGGGCAATGAGGGCATGCTGGGACTTGTAGTTCCCTAGCTGATATGTTATGAAGCTGTATTCCACCTGAAAGTACTACAATTACATTATAGAACTAAGAATA